AGTGACAATAAGTAAAACTGTTGGTGTGTTTAGGATAAGAAAACACTGTTCATGTGTGGCTTTTTTTTAATAAAATGAATGGCTATTTCTCATTGACATTAAAAGTTGAAAGGTTTTTGTAACACATGGCATTTTAGCATTCTTCCCACAACTAACACATTGGTAAAATATTTTTATACATGTGTTGACTAAATTAAAATGACATAACCAAATACCAGAAAGCCACCCAGTACCGCTGACATAGATATGCATCTCAGATAGACATAATTGCACAGTGGATCAGTCAGTCAAGGACCCTTTCATGCACCTGAAATGAGTTGAGACCATAGCATATTTTCATACATATGCAGTAATTGCTCTTTGCTCTGATTTTCTGTTACTCCTCATGGAGCACTGTCTAGCAAAGCAAAACTGCCAAAAAAATCCAATGCCATGAAATCCTTTTACTTCAACTGTAACATTCGTGTCGCAGCATTAATAAATGTTGTATGCTTGGACTGAAAAGCCCAGATTAAAGTGTCTTTTTTTCTTAGCAAGTCTTCCCTTTCCTTTCAGTAGATGAAAAAACAGCATGCTCCCAGAAGCCTCTGCAACATGACAGAGCTGCTCCCTTGCTACATTTCATCTGTAAAGAAATCCCTCTGTTCTCCATGAGTGAGCTTAAGCATGTGTACACAAGTACCGCACAGTGACAGGTAATGATTCACAACACAGAGTTTGACAAAGTAAATAAACAAAAGTACAATATGGTGTGAATATGGATATGGCATAATAGCACACATATGTTATAGGCCCATATAAAAAAAGAGTAATGACAGAGTGTCTGGCAATATAATGAAGCAAATTTTTTAACTACCTTGAGTACCCTGTCAGAAACATGACCGTAGGCATTTATCAGCTGGAGTGAGTCATCTGTACCTCAACATACTTCCTGTCTGCTGCTCACATTCGGATACAGAGCTCTGTCTCAACGTCTGGCGACCCATTTGCCGGGATACTTAAAAGCAGAATTAGACACATAATCGAAACACCATCAAGCTTTACGAATAGCTGATAATAGTAAAAGTAACAAGTGCAAAGCATATTTATGGAACTCTATGTTCAATTTTCTCTTGTACAGTTATATTGTCCAATCATCATCTTAACCAGTCTGTTGTTGTCACTGTAGAATATTTTTGTTTTCTTGTATCACTGTCCAGCTGTTGCTCTGACTCTTGGTTCTTAACATGTTGTGAACTTTTTTTTCCATGAAATTGCTATTTTTATAAGCTTTATCTAACCATACTATTGTTTTAAAAACACCTGTCTCAGAGTATAACTGAGCCATCACTGACTAAAATTACCAGCATGTTCCATTTGTGAACTGTAGAACAACAATTGGTATTTGTAGGTCAAACTGTTGCCAAATCTTAGCCCCTAGGTCACATCCATCAGGAATTCTGGGCATTGCAAAATGTATTATACAGCTGACAGCTGGCACATTAGCTTCGGTTTGATTGTGGCCATATGGCCAGTGGTGAGGAGCTGCCATGACCCGAAACACCCCTGGTAAGATTCCCATTACAGAATGTTCTTCAGAAAGCCAACATCTACGAAACATGATGGTCCTGTAGTGACTATTACTGCCTGCCAAGCAGCTGACTGCGGTTTATCACAGGTATATTTAGAGGCAAGGGGCACCTGTAAAACATCGCTGAAACAGAGGCAAAGTGACTGTTTAAACCAAAGCAGCTCTACTCGCTGTCAGTGTGAATGTCATGTGAAACTTAGCCACTCCACAGTTCACTAACTCACAGGACTGTACATCAGGAAAGGGCTCCAGTGTTTTAATGGAAAGACAATGGAGCAATTTTGACAGCTGGAGCTAGGTGGACATGGATGGAGCTTTATATTGCCAATACTGTTAAATTAGTCATCCTAGGAGTATCCTGTTATGACCCATGGACTCACAGGTAAATCTAATTTTAACTACCTTTTCATAATAACATTATGACCTGCAATAAGCTCGAATTTGATGGGATGCACTACTCTGACTTTTTCTCTCCTGATACAAAAACACATGGTACCTGCCAATACCATGTATCAATTTAATACCAGTGCTCTTTTTTTCACCAAACCAAAAACCTGTATTACACTTCCTCACAGAAAAGAACTCAGTGAAACTACAGTTGCACAATGTTCATTGTAAGATTTAATGTGAGTCCTTGTTTTCTGAGCTGTTCTCCTTTATTGATCTCTGTTAAAGGTGGTAATATCTTCAGTTACTTTGTTCATGTTTCAAATTGACTTATCTACAAAAAGTGCAGAGAATGTACTTTTAGGAAAACTTTATAAAGTCAACTTTTAGTAATGTCAGCTAACTTCAAATGGCATCACCAACACACAGTTTCACAGTAAAAGCCTCTACTGTGTTTGCATTAAAATGCATTTATTGGAAAGGGCATGCAGGATGTGCAGGATGATTAATAGCAGTAACTTCGTCAAAAAATGCCCTCATCACATATCAACTATTTAAATGTTTATTGTTGATTGGTCACATCTGGTCAATACTCAGTCCACTTCTTAAGTCAATGTTGAGGCCAATACTGATAAGTTGACAGGTTCTATGAGAGTTGACATCATTACCCGCCAGGAGGAAACAAGAGGGAAAAAGAGGAAGAAGAACTGCAGTACAGAAGGAAGGGTTGCTTGCTTAAGGGAAGTATAACAAGACACAGTGCTATTGATGGACACACTGGCAGAAGCAGAGACTGCCCCTGTGACCTTTCAGCTATGGGACAGTCGCTGTAACTGCAAAGTACCATGGTGCACTGTGACGTGCTGACAAGTTGCTGATAGAGCACTGCATTTATATTTTACACATGGAGCTTATGTGTATCGACATCAAACAAACATTAAGTGAGCCAGTAGATGTTCATTGTCACAATCTGGGACACTTCCAAATTACAGAGGGTTTTAACTCTGTGACCCTCTGATAAGGGGACAGGCTTGTTAACCAGTGGGCCATTTTCAAGGGGAGTGAGGTGAGCTGCACTCTTATCAACAGCCACGTGCCTGCCAGTGTAACAGACAACCACATAAACAAGCACAATAATTCAAAAGGCATTTAGGGCATGCTCAAACTGGTGCAGTACCACCCTACACCCACTCCGTTTTATAAGTACAGCGCAAGAAGATGGATGTTGACATATGAAAGCCAACAGCTTAGAAAATCTCAAATAACAAAATGAGCAGAGAGCACACTGCTTTCTGTGTTACTGCTCATAGTGTGGTATTTTCTAATGTTTTCTTAACAGGTGCAAACACCTGAGAAGGTTTGTTTTGACTGTTGTGTTCATCCCAAGTGAAATCTGCAACGTCAAAGGATGACAGTTTACCAAAACACTGTCCAGACTGTTTGGGAATTGATATGATTTTTTTTTTCTTTTTCTTTTTTTTTTTTATAACAAGTTGTAGTGTTTTTACAGTCTGGATAAAGATAAAACAAATATTTTAAATTATGGTTTAGACCAAACAAAACAAACTGCAGGTATAATCACACCCCTAAAACAATTCTCTAAGCTCACTCCATATGTCATGAAAGCAATGCCAGCTGGAGAGCTGTGTCCTACTTGCACATTTCACATATCACAGCTCACACATCTACAATAGTGTGTTTCCGACCCTTACCTCTTCTATTAATACTATGCTGATTGTGTGGAAATATGCATATTCCAACATCATGTTCTATTGAAATTAATCCTAACCTTGGCTTGAAAACAGAATAAAAATAATTTGGTATGCGTTTGTACTACATCTGTTTTCTGCTTTGAGCTACAACAAGGATGAGAGCAGTGGACAGTGAATGCGGGCCATCATACTACAGTTGTGAAATAAATACTGTAATTAAAAGTAGAATGTAATGAACTGTCTTTTCCTTTGACAGCTTGTCTGATAAGATTCTTATTAATATTACTGTCTAAACATATTCAGACTGGCCCATACATGCAGTAAATCTTGGCATCAGCCTATTTAAGTGAAATAGAACAGATGGATTTTCAGTGGGGCTGTTTTCCTGTATAGGCACCATCAGTATACAAACTTAGCCATCACCCTGTTACTCCAACAAATAATTAGGATTCTGTTGTCAATAAGTTCTCTGTGCCCACAACCTAATGTCCCGTAAATGCAAATACACCTATCGACCTTGTTGTTCCCCAAACCGGGGCTCAATCTGGACAGCTTCTCAAGAGCTCAATGGTAGTTTCACTTTCATGTTAATTCAAAGCCTTACCACCTGTTAACAAGTGCAGTAGTATGTACAGCATGTGAATAACAAGACAGGATACAGCTAAGAGTTCTAAAAAATCACATCTTATTTTGTTACCTGCTGTGACCAAACCCAGGGAGGCTTGATTAAAGCTACATAGTCTGCCTGCAGTCATTTAAACCAACAGGCTTCTACTCTGTGTTGTATCGCCTACAGGCACAAAATGTACCCTACAATGTCAGTTTGCCTCCACAGAAGAAATGTCTCTGCTGAGGAGATTTTATCTTGTTATTTTACGCAAGCAATAACGGATAAAGCTCTTGTTCTAACTAAGACTACAAGAGAATGACAGACATTTTTACTGCACAGATGGTGCAAGATACACCTGTGACCATTAGGTACACGGGCCACACAAGAATACTGTCGGACTCGCTATGAACATTCTGTTGGCTAAATGATCCGTGTAATAAGTAACAAACAAGATGTTAGATAAATAAAGGCAGAGGAGGACAAAAATTATATAAAAGTATGCAGAAATGATCCTCCAAAATACTGCAGCCACCAGTCGGATATCAAAGAGGATACTATATACAGGCGCAGACAACTGAAATCCATCGCTACCTACTAATGGAAAGGGTGTAAATCCTGACAATTGTTTGTTGATACTTGTTCAAATATACACACATACAAAGAAAAGGGCTCACACATAGACAAGTCCCTGTACAGAACAACATGGATTACCTATACGTACCTTTTACAATAAGGTTGAGAAGCTTTGGCCGTGGATTGCGCTCACTCTGAATGGAGCATGTGTACTGGCCATCGTCAGTTACATCCACTTTCTGTATCTGAAGGCTGTACTCATGTTTGTCGCCAACACTGGACACGATGGACACTCGTGGGTCCACAGACCACTTGTCGTTCCCTGCGAATATGATGCTTGAGCGGTTCAGCCAGGCTCCTTTAGAGATCCCATCCAACAGGTAGCACCTACAGTGACAGGAAACACCTCAGTTAGATCTGGGGAAATGACAACTGAAATAGCAAATATTTTTGAAAATATGAAGTCATTGTGTTTGCTGTCTAAATAGTATATTATCCATTAGAGACATCTCTGAGGAGGAGAAGGATTGTGTGTGTGTGTGTGTGTGTGTGTGTGTGTGTGTGTGTGTGTGTGTGTGTGTGTGTGTGTGTGTGTGTGTGTGTTTATAAGTTCTCCCCAAGTCCTTATCGTATAAACATACATCCTGAAAATGTGCAATGCTCAGTATTCATTTTTTTTAATGCAAGACCAGGGAGCATGTGGACCAAAGGAAGGATAAACTTTAGTTATAGACAGGAATGGGTAATGTGCCAGAAAGTGAGTCATAAAAGACAGAACTTTAAGCACCTGGAGGGTATGATTCAACCTGTTAAAGCTGTTTTAAAATAGCCAGAGCCATGAGTAATGGTTGGGCATAAGAATGATTGCTCTATTGTCGTTGGTGTGTCTAAACAGACAAAGACTTCTAGTGAAAGTGCACTTCTCTGTCAAAGTCTGGTGTAGTAGACATAGAAATTTATATTCAAGCAGCTAATTAAGCACAAGTGTACCTCCATTTATGACAACTGTGAAGTGGTATTCAGGCTTGTGCAGTTTTGTTTTGTTAAAAGGTTTAGAAGGCCCAGTGAGGACAGTGGACATTCAATAAACGCAGAATGAAGAAAAAATTGACAAAAGAGAGAATACAACTGACCAAAGAAATAAAATTCACCACACATTAGGTTCCTCTAGACTGACTGTAAAAACATAGTGCAAATAGTAGTGTATATGTTTTTCCTTTTTTTTTAATCATGATTCACAATTACAACTCCTGGCTGTATTTGCACATAGCTTTACAATGTGAGCATCTATGCAAAAGTGAATAGTGAGTAAACAAAGTATAGGCCTTCAGCCCAGCCACAAATAATCAAACATCCCTGGCTCTGACAACGCTGTAGTCTAGGACTGATTCATGTGTTACCATTACTGAGGCCAATACATTTTCCTTTTCTAAGCTAATTCTACTGAGACAAAGGATCAGGAAATTGCACGACATGATGAGTCTAGGGTCACCACTGTCAGAGCGCAGTTGTTTTTACTCCTCATTCCAGCAGTGTTTGGACTTAAGGAATCGCATCATACTCTGTGACAAATACTGTAATAATGAGTAGGAAAAGAGGCAATCAAGTTTGGCTCTTTAGCTGTTGTCGACATGCCATGCAGACAGCCAACACCAGTAGTAAAGCCACCGAGGAAATCAGTTTGGCACTAACCACAAAGCTCTTTACCCTCAATGCCAAGAAAGTGTCTGTCAGGAAAGCAGTAGAGGACAATGGTATAGTCCAGGCTGGTCTCCCCGAGGCGAAGGCGAAGGCATTGCCTTAGAGGTATTGTGAAAAAATAAAGTGGCAAACAATGGAGAATGGATAGTTAAAAAAAACCCACAGAAGAAAGAGGTCTAGGTACTTTGTAAAGTCCACACAGACCTGTCAGTTAGTTAGCCCATTGACCACCTGAGCCATGGTGTTTCTGGCTTTAGGCAAGATTTACTGAAGGAGCCTCAGGGCAAGTTTCTTTCCTTTTTTTGTTAACAAAACAGGAATGCATTTGATTTTAAAGAATTTAAGGGTGCAGATTATTTATTTATTTCTTCAACGTCTACAGGATGTAAGTGCAAATTTAACTCACTTTTCCATATGTAAAATGCAGTATTGCAACAATACAGTAAATTTTGAATGCATGTTCTGCCTTTGAGAGAAAAAGCTTTAAAGTGTTAAAAGATGATAAAATGATATGATATGATAAAAGGCCTTCAGCGACTAATAATTTAACACACTTTAGAGGAACCACTGAGGGTGTGATCTTAACGCCTGAACATTAATGCACAATCCACTGTTCAGGCCAATCCACTGTGCAGCACACAACCACTGATGTGAAGAACTTGTCAACAACTTGCTGGGCTTTTATCGTTATATCCTTGTAAAACAAGGTAACCGTAAAAACATGTTCTCCAGTGTAGTTGCTATTGATTTCTCTGTTTTCTCATCAAAAATAGTCCTTTCAGAATCAAACATTCTCTCCATGTAGGCTTAGAAGTGGCTGTTATACACTTTACTCCTTCGAAAAAAGCAGAAGCTGTGGCTTGACTACATGCTGGTGACAATGTACTTCAGTGGTGACAGGTTTTTTACCACTTAAAGAAGCTCGGATTCCACGGTGTGGAAATTTACCCACTGTGTAATAAACTTGTGACAACACCAGTGGTGCTGATTACACCGGACATTTCTGCTCAATATCAGTAGATTAGAAGTGTTACCTCGAGATGCTGCCACCTTTGCAGATAGCCTCATTAATATTATCAGGTTGGGTTAAAATATGAAATATTTCCAAATAGGTGCTTTAGAGATCTCAACAGTCCTCTCGTCACGATAAAACTATTTGATGAACGTGGGTGCTACCGCTGACATGAGAAAATAAACCAAATAGGTTTATGTCTTTAAAAAAAAAGGGGGGGGGGGGGGGGGGGGGGGGGGGGGGGGGGGGGGGGGGGGGGGGGGGGGGTGGGGGGGGCAAATGGGCAAGTTACGTAGGGCTGTGCCTGAAAACTGTATAACACTGTGTAACACCGGCAACACCTACTACCGCGGCAACCTTAATCAAAAGGTCTCACACCACACCTGCAGCATCACGTGCTTCTCTGCTCTCCAGGACCAGTTTGTTCAAAACAATCATATAGCTGCTGTTATCTGTGAAGAAGGTAAATAAAAACTTTTAACAGCCACTTTTCAAGGATAAATTTGGGATGAAGTATCACTTAAACAAAGCCGTAGTGCCAGAAGTATGGCTGGAGGACACTTCACCCGGCCAAGATCTCTACTCAGAGACTTGACATTTTTCTTCATCTTGATGAACCAGTCCTTGATGTTCTTTCGCTGTTTTTGCAGTTCGCTTATCACTGCTGAGTATCTTTGCAGTCTCCCTCCAGAAATGATTATTGTTATCTCCCTGTCTTTGTGATATCACACCAAGGAGCCATACAGACGGCAGTATTTATACACCTCCTCATAAAGGTGTGTTAAAGCAGCCAATTTTTACATTTGCACACTGTCTCAGGTGTTGTTACTGTGGCTGGTTCCTTTGCTGCTGATGCTGTCAAATAATAACTACTGTACATGGGAACTGATCATAAGTCTGGCATGTGTTCGACATGCCTGTGTGGTAGATTAGGCTGCTGTTAGGCAAAGTCACTGCCTGTGATGTCAACCCATTTGATGTAGTGTTGACTGAGTGAAAAACATTGATACAAAACAGACTGATACAGACGACATATGTTATTGTGATAAAATTGTAGTGTCTGTAATTGCCTGATTGTACTATGGGAGTCGTAGTTAGCTTCTTTCCCAAGAAATTGTAGGTACACAAGCTTGTACCTTCAGCATTTTATCAAAGAAGCAGATATTCTGAAACCGTAGTTAATCATTTGGATTGACGATTGAACCAGGAGAGTTTTCATGCTGATCCAAGTGCTCCAACTGTGAGTCATGTAACATTGTGCATGGGAAAAATCAATGGGACTTTCACTTACTGAGGGAGCCTGAAATCACTCCTCCTACGTTGCAACTTTATTACAAAGTAACTTTTATTTCACTGGGAAATCATTTCTCATTCTGATGGTTTTTACTAGACACAGAGGTGTGCCATCACCAGGATACTTAAGCTTTAATTTTTAACCTGCTTTTTGGTGATTACAATACTTTGCTTTTAAATACATTTTAATTAGTTGGCTTTAGTAGTTTTGCTTCGTCTTATTATTTACCGTGTCTTTGAATGCAAATGTATTTCTTGTTAATACATTTCACATGGACATTCCACATCAAAAACAACAAACTACTTCATGTTCTAAAAGAATTTCATCAGCCAGGTCTTTCTTCTGCCACCTTTCCACATTTCCTTTGTTCATTCCCTCAATCATCTATAGCAGCACAAAACTGATAACACCTAAGGTGGGCTTTGCTTTCATCAGGTCCCTTTTCTCCAGAAGCACACCAGGATACAGACTTCCTATGGTTTATACAAAGCTCAGGTAATTATTCCACAGACCTCAGTGCATCCACTCTGAAGCAGCTCTGACACCTCAAACATGCGCTAATTGATACTTTTATCTATCCCTGCTTCTGATGAGTGATTGTAGAGGAACCAGGCTCATTACAAGCTTTATTTTTATTTTTTTATTTTTTGTATTCTTTTTTGGATTTTGGCTCACAAATAACAGAGTTCAATTCAAACCCTAGTGATTATGCACAATGTGCAAAAAAGGAAAGTGATAAGCTGGTGTTTCAGCACCTCACATGAATGGAAAATGATGACAAACCATTAATTACAGTATGGCAGCTGGTAAGAGGAGCAGATTGTAATCCGTTTAGCCAAACTCACTCAAGCTCTTTGATTGGAAGCCATAATTAACACTGGGGCATCATTCTGACCCAGATTCGTATTTGCTTTATAAAATTGTTTTCTAGGTTCCTCAACTGTAAATATTCTTCCTGGCACCAACTCCAAAGATCTTGTCTTGCAAAAATATTTCAGTGCTTCACAGTCTAGTAGTTCACATTCAGCAGTCCTTTCTCTATATTTGGCACAAGAAATGAATACACTTCTGGATGGGTCCTTCTGTAGTATGAGATTTATAGTTATGTAACAGTTATATAATAAACACACAGGACGTTTAAACCTTAAGCAATGCAGACCTCATGTAAGCTCACTTTTGTCTGTTTACGCTAACTGTAATTAAAAAAGGGAAACAGCGTAATATCTTAAACCTTCACCTATGTTCTCCAATGAATACAGGAAATCAGATGTAGTTTTAGTTTTAGTTTTTGTCACAAGACCCTCCTCTATTGTTAGAAATTTTATAAATGTATTTAAAACAAACCTGCAACCACACTTTAGGTTAAAACAGCAATTTTTA